CCCTAATAATCTATCTGCTGTTTTCTTCAGATATAGATGAATGTGCAACCAATAATGGATCGTGTGAATATAAATGTCAAAATGAACCTGGTAGTTATAACTGTTCGTGTCCAGAGGGGTCTGAATTACAGGGAAATGGTTTGAATTGTGGACCAAGTGGACCAGGTATAGTAGTTATACATTATATATTACATAACTCAAGCGTGATATTTGCCAAAACTTGCAGTAAACTATTGGATAGAACGGTTTAAGTAAAACTTGGTATATTGCACGGGGCAATCCGCTTTTATGTCAAAAAGTATTATCATCAAAAATGTCGTGATTTATACCTGACAATATTTCTAACGTATTATTTATATCTATGTATCTAATTGATCAAACTAAATTTGTTTTTAAAGGGTCGATTAAAAACGGAGAGTACTAATTGTTAATTAAACAGTTTGACTTAGTTTTGGTGTTTGGCTTTATAATGGCTCGATATTTACAGCTTTCGAGTTGAGCTCGAAGCTGTAATGCTTTCGTTATATACAGCTTTCGAGTTGAGATCGAAGCTGTAATGTTTTCGTTATATACAGCTTTCGGAAGCTGACAGATCTGTCAAACAGGTCTAGTATTAGTTGAAACCTTTCGAATACATAGAAGACATGTTTCTCTAAAATTAGGTTTTTTTTTACTTAAATCCGTAGAGTAGTTTCCTAACAGTTTCCAAAAAAGCATAACGAACTTTTTTTTAAAATTAAACAATTAATGACTGGATTATTTAATTAAAACTTTCAGATACGTTAAGGGACACATATCTTCTTCATAAATTTGCCGAATGCTCCTTTAAGTGGATTCTCCCAAACGACCATTATCTATTAGTATTGATATGTAAGTCTATGAAACCCAGAATGATATTTGTTGCCTGTCAAAGTATTTAGCCTTGTGTTTCAGGCAGACAATTCGTCAGCTAATCAGTAATTATAACTAATTTAAATATATATGTATATATCCTAGTGACGATCCTAATCTGATAATTTAACATTTTTTCAGGCCCCTGTATGTTCGAGAATGCAACGGTGAAAGGAATTTCAATTAATTGCGATAGAATTTATATTGGCCGTGATAATGAAACAGAGTGTGAGAGGAGATGTAACACAACCGTGGTATGTACAGTGGATACTGTCGAAATTACGGTCTTCCAATTCTTCGTAGAATTCCTCTTCGAAGCGTAGATATGTGCAAAAACCTTTGTGCTCAGAATAAAAAATGTGTAACTGCCCAATATTTTGGGACGTGTACTCTGTATGACTCGAAACAAACAGAATTTTTTGATGATGATGATCCACAGACCGTTCTGCACAAGATTGATATAAATTGTATTTAAATTTACAAATAAATGGTTTATATTATTAAAACGAAATAGTAAATGTTTTATGTTTTTTGTTACTTCTTTTAATTGAGATAGGCGTCATTTGAAAGTTCCTTTCTGTCAATTTTCACATGGATCACTGATCAACAAGGGGGTTGGTGCGAATCTGCAACAGTTTCCGATGATTCAATGAAGACCGCCATTTTCTTCAGTTCCTTTTTCTCCAAATAATACGAGATTCCTGATTGGATATATCGAATGGTGACGTATGGTCTGCAAAGAGCAGTTATTAGTCTCTAATGATGATAAAATGGAATTGTCCAACCAACGGTTAGATGTGAATAATCATTTACCTTTGCTAAAGATTAAAATTATTAAACTTAGTATAGCGCTCATTACTGCTCTGACATGAGCATTCAATGGCGCTCTACAAAAACAAATATTTCTACATCATAGCCAATGTTTATACACACACACACACCCACTCTCACCCTCACACACACACACACTCTCACCCTCACACACACACACCCTCTCCCTCACACACACACAACCTCTCACCCTCACACACACGCCTCGCTGTAGTGCCGGCATATTTTATTAGACGCAGGATCAATTTAGCAGCCATATTATGCACTCGATGTAGTGGCTGAATGATCATTCGAGGCAGATTGGTAGAGACTATTGCAATAGTCTTAATGTTAAAATACCAAGGCGTTAACTAGCTTTAAACACGTTGATCTGTTGATGAACGTTTTTATTGCGTGGCAAATTAGATTTGTCACGCTTTGTTTTCGTTATGATTATTTTTTATTTTTTTTTTTTTTTTTGGGAACGTCCCTAGTCAAAATCGAAAATGGTATAGCATAATTGTCTTCACCAAACATTTTTAAATGACCTCGAATCAAAAATGAATATCTAAAACTCAATTTTTGCTAAACCGGAAGTGTGCCATTGCATACTGTGCAAATATTTTGCATCAAGTCTGTAGGGCTTATTTATGAACCGATTTACCTGAAATTTTCTTTAATATGTTCATTGTTATAAGACGTATCTGATGAGGCTAAAAAAAATTCAAAAAATATTTTTGTCAAAAAAATTTGAATCCAAAATTTTCAAAAAAGCTCAAAATTTCTAACTCAGTCGCTAATTATCCGATTGATCTGAAATTCACAGGACATATACAGAATGTCCATACAAATAAATTTATACAATCAAAATTTTTATATCACTTCCGGTTTTTGCGTGATCACTTCCGGTTTTTTTAAATCACCCCTGGCACCCCCACTTCCGGTGTAAATTTCAGATGTTGGCAAAAATCATATATATTGTCTGTCAGTCATAATTAGATGCACTTAGCAGAAAAAATCCAAACCGGAAGTGATGCATAAGCCGTCGCCTCGGACTGACCCATTTTAGCGAAAAATTAATTAGTCCTCCATTTTTTATCCTTTATGATTTTGGTGTCTATTAAAACCTTGTATCCTTGTCTACAGTTTGATGGAACACAATTTTGAATTTCGAATTTGGATTTTTTTTTTATTCGTTTGAATTCTTGAAAAT